AGATTTCACTCATAAAAACTCACATCACTTCTCTTAAATGTACAAATACTTTTCCCTTTTGAAAATAACATTATTTGTTGTTATTAAATGTTAAGACTGAAATTCTATTTTCTTGTAAAATATACTCTACAAAATTTTTACAATATTTTTCAAAGATTATTAGTGTATTGGACAAAATGTCAATATTTATGACTTAATAGTTCATTATTGATTTGTACACAAGAATTTGCTTTAAGATTGATGTGTGGCTAAATATGCTCGAAGCACCAAAAACACAATTCAGTTTGACTAGAAATTCACTGATTATGTTTCCATCGGATAAATGAGCACAAACGCCGCACTACAGTTGTGCTTTAATGTAATTGCAGAGCTTTACAGACTTTTGTAAATTAGCAGCTATTAGCACAATCAATCTGGTTACACGCGGCTGCCAGCGATCAATGAAACCACTCAGCATCCAGACAGTAAACCCATTCATGTTGTTTAGCAAGAGCTTTTTGAGTAAGTATGTTGTGCCTCTTTAAACAACACTTTGCTGTAGCACGAGCGTGATGAAGAGAAATGGTGCAATCGTGTGATTGTGAACGGCGTCGTGTCGCCTCGAGTCACTGCGTCGTATTTGCTTTGGTTCACAAACCTGTAAAACGAGAGCTTTCTGCATAATAACAGAGCTGCTGTTACACAACGACAGGAGCACTGGATGAGCTACTGGATCTCACTGCATTCACATTTACCGAGGAAAAATGCGCATGTGAACATTCAAAACTGACATTTACTGTCTTAATTCATGTTCTTGGTTTTATCGTGAATGATTCATCATCAGCACACATCATTGCAAACAAAAACGCCTGCCTTTATAATCTTTCATCCAAATGTAGTAACTTCCTCCAGCTCTGAAACAGCTTTATGTCATCAGTCACTCTTTTCATTTATTTATTGATTGATTTGTATTTTACGTGCCATTTATACGCAGAAACTGACTTTGGCGTGCATATGATACGCAGGTGTTTGACATGCATATAATAGTTTTTGCGTGCATATGATACGCACGTGTTTGACATGCATATAATACGCATTTTGGCGTGCATATAATACGCACCTACCCCACACCCCTAAACCTACCGATTGCGTATCATATGCACGCCAAAGTTAATTTTTGCATATAAATAGTATGCCAAATAGAAACAGAAAATCGTGCGCACATTCATGAGATGGGGTTAGAGTAGTAACTTTGGTCCTCTTGCCCATGAAGAGAAAGTCTGTAAATTATAAATCTGCTGAAATAAAAATTTTAGTCAGCTTTTAGTATTAGCTAGGCTAGCTGCTAGCATACGGATGAGCTTAAAACTAAGCTATGAGACAAAACCGTTGGTGAAATACAGTTTTTGTTAAATAAGTTACTACTTTTATTCATCAAGGACATATTAAATTGATCAAAAGTGACAGTAAAGACATTTATAATGTTATGAAATATTTTCTATCTCAAATAAATGCTGCTCTTTTGAACTTTCTATTCATCTGTGAATCCTAAAATAAAGTGTATCACCGTTTCCACTCAAATATTGGGCAGCACAACTGTTTTCAACATTGATAATAAATAATCAGAAATGTTTGAGCAGCAAATCAGCATATTAGAATGATTTCTGAAGATCATGACTGGAGTAATGATGCTGAAAATTCAGCTTTGATCACATCAATAAATTACAGTTTAACAGATATTCACATAGAAAACAGATATTTTAAATTGGAATAATATTTCAAATTTTTACTGCACTTTTGATAAAATAAATGCAACCTTGGTGAGAAGAGACGTCTTTCAAAACACTAAACAATCTTGCAAAGTTTTTGAATGTCAATGTTCATTTTAGCTGAGAGTATGAAAAGCATCATCAAATTAGATAAAACATTTAATGTTTTATCACGATGTCAATTTATGAAATAAAAGCCTTTCAGCTTCTCATTTGCCAGTCGAAAAACATGAATTTTCAAGGCTGTCCAATTCATCAGGCACATAACCTTTATGTAGCGACTTTAAGTTTTAAAGCACACCAAGGTTTCCAAACTCTGACTGCGTTTCAGAACAAAGTCTCTTCAAGTAATGTTCACCACGGACCTTAATTTACCTTAATTTAATAAATTGAAAAGCGCGACTCGAGGGAATCTCTGGCTCGGATGCTGATTCTCGTCAGGGTTTAGGACTCAAAATCGAGCTCTGTTGTGCAGAAATGTGCCGGCTTCATTTGTCATTCATAGTGTGTCTTACGAGATAATGTGTCTCTGTGTTTCCAGCCAAGGCTTTTTCCTCGAGGAAGAGAGACTGACTACCTGCATTTGGGAGAGCATTGTCAAGATACACTTTTACAAATTATGCACAGAGTTTGTGAGTCCAGACTGAAAGCCAAGGGTTATTATGAGATGCATGAAACACTGCAGGAAATCAATTCTGATTGCATGATGCTATTGACCAATCATAATCAAGCATTAGAGAGATGCATTTTGATGCAAAGTTTCAAGCACATTTTCAAATAATGTTTCAGCAACAGCATAATTGATACAGTTAGTTAGCAGGGTTACTAAAACTGACACCATAAAACTATTTTTGTTACTCGAGGTTAAATCTAAAGAATGTATTTAAAAAGTAAACATTTTATTTCAGCTTGTTGCCAAGGCAACACCTCATCTTGATACACTAAAATAACTAAAACTGGCTTGAATGAATGAAAACTGTATAGACATTTCAAAAAAAAATTAAAGTGGCAGAAATGCACAACAAAATTAGTAAAACTTCAACTAAAATGAAAACAAAAAATAAATCCTAATTTAAAATGTAAAAACTATAAAAGTATCGAAATGATGCTAAAATAACACCGCTAGTTAGTCTTTCACCAAGAACAAACTAAGTTACTTCATAACAATAGTAATTTTTAATAAGAAATTGATCGTGAACTTTGCAAACTGAAATAGAAAGTAGCACATTAATGAGAATATTTTGATCAAACGCAACACAAAATTAACGATCACATTATTATTATTTAAAATAATGATATAATTATATTTAAAATGTAAATATCCTTGTTTGTATTTTTAAATATTTAATTATTTATCTATCAAATGAATTTTCATAAGTTTTCCAGTCTGATGTGAAAAAAAATAAATAAATAAAAATACAAAAAATTCTATAGATTTCACTCATAAAAACTCACATCACTTCTCTTAAATGTACAAATACTTTTCCCTTTTGAAAATAACATTATTTGTTGTTATTAAATGTTAAGACTGAAATTCTATTTTCTTGTAAAATATACTCTACAAAATTTTTACAATATTTTTCAAAGATTATTAGTGTATTGGACAAAATGTCAATATTTATGACTTAATAGTTCATTATTGATTTGTACACAAGAATTTGCTTTAAGATTGATGTGTGGCTAAATATGCTCGAAGCACCAAAAACACAATTCAGTTTGACTAGAAATTCACTGATTATGTTTCCATCGGATAAATGAGCACAAACGCCGCACTACAGTTGTGCTTTAATGTAATTGCAGAGCTTTACAGACTTTTGTAAATTAGCAGCTATTAGCACAATCAATCTGGTTACACGCGGCTGCCAGCGATCAATGAAACCACTCAGCATCCAGACAGTAAACCCATTCATGTTGTTTAGCAAGAGCTTTTTGAGTAAGTATGTTGTGCCAGCAGTGCTGATGTATTTGTACCGCTGCCAGTCTTCATCATCACTTCTCAGAGTAGTTTAACAAGTTCATCTGCGTTTATGTACATTTGACGCCTTCATTAAAAGGGCCTTGAATCACAGCTGAAGCCTGTTAAATACTGGATGCTTGACCATGCAATATAAGAGCTCTTTAGCCTGCAGTGTACAGTAAATGTGTGTGAATGGATGAGAGAATGAGCGTGCAAGGATGTTGAGCGCCACCATTTGGCATCTTGTGTCACTACAGCATCTACGACAGATGGAAACATATAAAGATCAAGACCTTCTGGGCAAAATTAATGATCAAATTATTATTATAAATATTTATTAAACAAAATTATGATTAATTATATACTTTTTTTTATTTTTATTTAAATATACATTTATATTAGAATTGTTATTATTAAAATAACTAAATTTGATTTTTAAGTGATTTATTTATTTTATTATGTATTTTAATGTTTTCATTTCAATATACATTTGGTATGAATTATATTGTTATTATTATAGTAATTTCATTATATATTAACTATTATTTTTTAATATGATTGTAATTTATATTTACATTTAGAATTATTGTTATTATTAATTATAAGTATTACTTAATTCGATTGAATTTTAAAATGTTTTTAAATGTATTTTTGAATTTAAATATACATTTAAATTTAGTGTGAATTATATTTATATTATAATTATATCGTTATTATTATTAAAATAATTAACTATTACTTTTTAAAATATTATTTTTTTATTACACTTTTTTGAATTTAAATATACATTTAGAATGATTATTTTTAAATATGTACATTATTTAATTATTTTATTTAAATATACATATTATTTTGTGTGAATTATATTGTTGTTGTCATTAATTCCATTTAATCTGACTAATAAAACGTTGCAACCCGTCATGCTGTGATGGATAACGACGTGTAAAAATAATTGAGAGATTTCACTCAGATTATACTCGCAATATAGAAGCTGTAATGATTTTAACTTCAGTGGCCTCTCCAGGCCTATATCAAACACAACTTCTCTGAGAAGGTTTTTATTCGTAAGATCTTGAGCTCTACAAATATAGACTTTTACCTTACAAAATCAAATTATTTACAAACTCATCATTCCCTGAAGTAGTTCATTTCACACATAATCTGCAGGATCGAAAACAGAGCTCTGACATCCGTTTTATTATTACATTTATCATGATTTACTCTTTCACAACTAAACGTGTGATATTACACAGAATGTCCGAGCTGCAGTGAAAGTGAATGAGGACGGATGCAGATGAGCTCCAAACGTATTCTAAAAGCATCATTATAGTATCATAAAGCATTGCATTTAGGTCACGAGTCTCAAATGTCATACTTGGGCTCATAAATGACCGTTTTTAATGTTTTTTTGTATCTTTTGGAGCATTTTCTGTCTAGAAACCGAAGCTCAAGACGGTCTGTGGTTCAAAACAAAAAGTCAGATGAGGACACGAGGGTTAGTTCCTCTCTCAATTCCTGGGTGAAATATTGTTTCTTTTGTGGTTTGATGCAACGTTTTGCTCGTTTAGCCAGGACGTTCAACAGGAAGTGGCTGTGTTTTATCTCTCAGCTTGAGGAATGCTGTTCTTCAATGAGCCAAACAAACAAAGACAGACAGGAAGCCCAGAGACCTCTATCTCTCATCTTTTCTGTTGTCTGACAGAGTAAGGTTTCATCAGACAGTCTGTTAGAGAAGTCAAAGTCAGTCGTCCGGCTCGGTCACGCACTGCTCCACGATCTCCCGCAGGCTGGGGTTCTCCATGGCAGCCGCCACGCGCTCCTTATCATTGATCTGCTTGTTAACTGAGAGAGGACCACACACAGCAAAACCAGTTCAGAGACACACCACCGACTCATCTCACACTGATACTGTCGCCCCCTACGGATGTGGATCTCAATACTTGTGCCAAATCAGGCCAGTTATGCAGATGATATTCAAAGAATATTTGGAGATTATCGTCGGTGTCTAGTAACACAACCCAGTTCAACCAGTTAAACAAGCCTTTGGACGGTTGCATGGTCTGCCGACGGTTTAGTCAATGGATGATAAAGAGCCATCCAATAATTCTGTAAAATAATTGTTTCATTTTAATGTCTATTTAATTTCATTTTTGCATGCATCATTTGCCATGATTATATATTATAATATACAATAAAATATTATAAAGATTTTATATACATCTATATACATATATATATATATATATATATATACACAAATATACATAGATTTTATATGCATTATATATGTGACCCTGGACCACAAAACCAGTCATAAGGGTAAATTTTTTGAAATTGAGATTTATGCATCATCTTAAATAAGCTTTCCATTGATGTATGGTTTGTTATGATAGGACAATATTTGGCTGAGATACAA